GGACCCACTGGTTGACCATGAAATGGCATTTAATTTGCTTCTCATATATGTAAGTTACTTAATAATTTTAAAAATTATTTTCATCTTGCAATGATCTGGGAATATTTCGTTTTTTGGTTTTGTTAAATTTCACTGGGGTTTGTGGCTTAGTGAAGTTTTAGGAAAACTGATGCTTTCCAAGTGCGATGGGTCATGATGTTTGAATGTTACTCTACTGTGTTCTGTTTTAGTTTATATAAAGGATGAGGAGGACAAGAAAGAGCAAGGATGGCTCTGGAAGGCCTATGGCACAGCTGCATGTAGTGAATGGCTGGGCTGGCTGTAAGCTTTTGAAAGTCTGGACCCTCCCTGTCCCTGTCTTTGCATCTCTAGCAGCTAGCATCGACCTGGCATGTGGTACTCAGCCAGTGCTTGTAAATTACTGAAGACCAAACTGTTGTAATTGAGTTTATGTAGCAGTTAAAAATGGTGGCAACTTCCACCCCCAACCTCCACTGGGCCTTGAATGAAAGAGAGTGTGTTGTTCCTGATGTTACATTTCTTCTGGCCCGGGTGTCACAAATCAAGCAAACGAGTCAAGTTATTCATTCCAAGAAAAGAAATCTAGATAATGTTAAGTGTTAGGATAAATGGGGGATAAGTAGTTATCTGATTTCTGTACAATTGTCATCAGATCCCATATCGTCATCCTGACATTGGTTTGTTTTATAAAAATCCAACGATGCATACGAAAATGTGCTATGTCTGTGATGTGATCTGACTGCATTCGATGGAGGACTTCTTGTCAACCAGGCCTCCTGCAGTCTATTTGTAGTAACAGGCAAGTCAGCGTTCTTATCGCATCCTCTACCTCATTGTATGACCTTGGGGAGGTTTCTAGGTCTATTTTTGGCTCAGTTTTCTCATATATGGACTGGGAATAATTACTTTGTAATGTTTTCTATTAGAGAATGATTTAAAAGATCCTCAGCTAAGACTGTTTCTAATTTAAACACTGCAATTACTGGGGCTATAAAGTACATGACAGAGTCAGAGTTGACAAACCTACAACATTATTTTCTTTAAAATATTTCTTCCGCATTTTGTTCACCATTTATACAAAGTGTATCATAAAAACAGATTTCTACTGTTATTTTTACTTTTGCTAAAAGAGCAGTGCTTGAGTTATAGATTTCTAGATTTATCCTAATAAAGTAGGATGAGAACAGAATGGATTCTAATACCTAACTATTCTGATTATTGGTTCTGAGGCCTCAGACAAGTTACCCAACCTCTCTGAGGCTGATTCCTTCATCTGCACAGCAAAAATAACATGCTTTACCTCCTAGAGTTGATGTAAGTATTTAAAAAAAAAAAAAAAAAGACAATGGGGGGTGGGAGAGAAAAGATTATGTCAAATGCCTAGTCTTCAAAAAAATTTAGTTATATGATTACTTCTTAAATAAATGCTGCTAAGGGCCTGAAAGTCCTGGCTTTGAACCAAAAGTTTCTATTTTTTTTAAAAGATATTTAAAATAATGCACATTATTAAGATAAGGTAATGATACACAGTTTTGGAAAATGAGGGAATGTATTCTTACCTAAAAGCTTAAAATATCCACCTGTTCAAATGAAAATATTTTTTCCTAATTGTAAAAATAAACAGTTAAAATATAGTCCTAGAGCCAGTTTCAGAAGATTTTTTTCAGGTTGTTATGAAGGCAGTTAATCTTTTTAATTAGCAAAAGAATGAGGGCAGGGAACATGTCTTAGTGTATCTAGCAGACATCAAGTGCCTAGCCATAGTAGGTGCTCAATAAATATTCATAGATTATCTGTAGACTATTCATAGAGAGTGTATAGATTTTTGAATCGGAGAGATTTGGTTTGAATTGTGGCAATCCATTGGAATAATAGTAGCATCTATGTCCAGAGGTTATTAAAAGTGCAAGAGGTAACACATGAAAAGAATCTGGCACGTGTATTAAGATATATCCCCCTTAGTGTTGCTCATACTTTTGCTAATTTCATCATATTGCATGTTAAGATCAAATAGTTCTCCAAATGACCAGATTAATGAACCACCGTATGTATCCTACTTAGATAGAGAGAGACCATCCATGTATTAAAATCCTACTCAGTAAATCTTTGGCTGATATCCCATCAGAGCAGCCAAACTGTTCAGGAAAAGTAATTCCTGCTTCAAGGCTTTTCTTAAAAAAAAAAAAAAAATCTGCATTACTTGTTCAGTTTTTCTGCATGTGGCTTTTGGTTGCCTTTTTAGCTAGTGACCCTAGATTTTAACTAATGAACTCCAGCTGTTCTTACTTTGCCTTCCATCCCTTCTCATTTAACCTCCTGTCTCCCTGGTCTCACATCCTTAAAGTTCTTACAGGAAAAATGGGACAGTGCCAAAGTTTTCAAATGAGGCCTCCTCTCTTCTGGAGGGGAGAGGGCTTCTCCAATAAGGGCTCCCAGCTTTTTTGGTGACGGAAAAAGAAACACTCATTGTTGGGAAATGGGTGCCTAACAGCCTCCAAAGTGTCAAAAATCCTCTTGCGGTTTTTCATATTATACAAGCAAAGCGTTCAGTAAGGTAAGTCCGTAAAACAAACACAGGAAGTCCACAGTTGAATACTAAATGTAATTGCAAACACCTGGGATGGAGAAGAAATTCCTCCGTAAATATGTGTTAAAAGAAACATCTACCATGCAGAACAATACAGATCCAGCTTTTCTGAACCATGCTGAGAGCCATCTGTTAGCAAAACTGGCAAAAAATTTTCATTGCTGAGTCAAATGTCAACCTGAAAAACTTGGCCGTGGGTACAATCTGAGCGAGGCAGGCCCGAAGTAATAGGCAAACCTGAACGCACAAAGGCAACACCATGAAAATGCAGGGAAGCTGGGCCAGAGGCTCTCCTATTATATTGGTGACCTGGGGATTTCTATTATGTTCAGAAATACCATTCAACCTAGCCACACATCTCTTTCTAAATCTAATCCTACTTTCATGGGGACCACTAATAAGTACATTAGTAAATGCAGCTTCTATTACATTAAACACTTAAAATCTTGCTTTCCTCCAGAATGCCCCTGATCCTACCAGGATGAATTTCTGTCTAACCTGACAGTCATTTGGTCCCTCTACTCGAATTCAAGATGATGTATTTCCCAGGGGCTCTAAAAGGCTTTTGAAAATGGCATCAAATTCAGTTATAAACTCATTTTCTAAATTGCTTCTTCCATGCCTGTTTGCATAACCCATCCTTCCTCATTCAGTTCAGAATCTGACTCCATTAGCCACACCGAGACTTGCTGGTTCTCGTCTTCGTTTACGTCTTTTTTTAACCTCCATTACAACACTTGTAACTTGAATCATCTGTTCTGTTAAAACTGAAAATGACACAAAGATCAGGGCTTTTTCTTCTCATCCTTCACAAGGCCCAGCAATATGTTGTGCAAATAGTGTGTGATCCAAAAAGAGGGGAAGATAAAGTAGTTAAAAGAGGAGAAAATGAAAGAGAAGAGCCATTTCTGGCTTTGATGGCTTGTTTGTTTGACTCTTTTTTTTGCACTAAAATGGATAGCAAGCCTATCATCATTTTATTTATTTATTTATTTATTTATTTATTTATTTATTTATTTATTTTTAAGATTTCATTTATTTATTTGACAGAAAGAGATCACAAGTAAGCAGAGAGGCAGGCAGAGAGAGATGGGGCGGGGGGGGAGGGGGCGGAAGCTGGCTCCCCGCTGAGCAGAGAGCCAGATGTGGGGCTCAATCCCAGGACTATGGGATCATGACCTGAGCCGAAGGCAGAGGCTTCAACCCACTGAGCCACCCAGGCACCCCTCATCATTTTATTTTCAATGGCTCATGTAAAAGGTTAATAAATTATATTTTAATTATTTATTTTCACTATATTGTCTTCTTGATCTTTTTTTTTTTTAAAGATTTTATTTATTTATTTGACAGAGATCACAAGTAGGCAGAGAGGCAGGCAGAGAGAGAGAGAAGGGGAAGCAGGCTCCCCGCTGCCCAGAGAGCCCGAAGTGGGGCTCGATCCCAGGACCCTGGGATCATGACCTGAGTTGAAGGCAGAGGCTTTAACCCACTGAGCCACCCAGGCGCCCCGATTTTTTTTTTTTTAAACATGGGGTTTGAACAAACAACCCTGAGATTAAGACCCGAGCCGAAAACAAGAGTCAGATGCTTAACTGACTGAGCCACCCAAGTGCCCACTTCTTGATTTTTATATTATAAATTATTAGTTATGCCGATAGTGAACAAGACATCCCTAAAGGAAAGGAACAAGAATGGAATAGTAATAGCCACTATTTGTGGAACTCTGTAAACGTGATAAGGGCTTTCAGATGCATGTTCTCCTTACAACTCAATAAAAGAGGTACTCTTATCCTCTTTCTGCAATAAATGGGGTCTAAAACAGGTCAACTAATCAATCTACCCACATTCACACCATAGTAACTGGTGGATTTAGGATTCAAACCCAAGTCAATCTGACACCAGATGCCTCACCTACTTGCTGTACTGCCAAGGTACAGAGAACATATAGAGACAACAATAAAAATTCACGCCTTCCCGAAGAGTTTCTCAAATGCTATCTAAACAACTTATGATTTCCAGGTTAATTATTTATTGAGAATTTGTGTGCTTGTATTATTTTTTCTCTTCTACATGGACTTGTAAGGGTTACATAGACGTAGCCTTGGTGCTTTAGCATGGGACCCAACATGTAGAGGGTATTTAGTGAATACACATTGAGTTCATAGTCTTGGGCAACTAATATAATCATTTTGAATCTTAATTTCTTCGAGAGTAAATAATAAAATGAGAGTATAAATATATTCCAAAAACAATTAGGAAGAATACAATTGCAATTATAATATTACTTCTAGAACTATCAAAAGCCAGATGCTGAATGGATAGGCTCAATGGACTTTTTTTTTTTTTTTTTAACCAAATTGAGGACTTGTAAAACAGATCTCTTGGTTCTTACCCTCCCGAATAGCTGTAAACGGGACTCCTTCCTCCGCATTCATACTGATGACTTTTAGAGCCACTAGTTGTCCATTTATCCTAGAAGAGTGGGGTGGGGTGAAGTGGGAAGGGCACACATTTATTGAGATGGTTCATAGCAGTTCGTAGCAACAGTTTGTACCAAGGACAGCGTAACAAAAGTACCTTTCCTTCCAAATACATTCCAGCATGTGCATCCACAATGTTCTCAAAATAAACAGTTTTAAAAAGCCATATGTAAGTATACCAAAATATTTTTTTTCTTTTTACCAAAGTGGTAGAGGCTCATTATAGAAACTTCGGCAAATACCGAAAAGCACAGAACCCTGGCCCCCTCTTCCCCACCAAATCCTTCCTCGTAGTATTTCCATGTATCTTGTTCATTTCATTTCTCTTTGTGCACTTTAAGCCACCCTTATTTTCCACCTAAATTGTTCTAGTGACTTCCTAACAGTTTCCCTACTTGTATGTCTGTCTCTATCTCTACTGTGTACTCTCAATAGAGGAGCCCAGGGCATCCTTTTTAAGGAAAAGTCAGAACAAACCACTTGTCTGCTTAAAACCCACAGTTATCTTCACTTTTCACTCTGAAGGAAAGCCAAATTCTTACAACCATCTCCTAGGTGCACCTGATCTGCCCAGCCTCACCAGCAGTTCTCTCTCTCTCACTCTCTTTCTTTCTCCTCTTATTCATCATTTTGTTCCCTGATGTAAGTGAAGTCTTGGAGAACCAAGATTTTCCTACGAAGATAAATATGTTGTTTTTCTTAAAGATTTTATTTATTTATTTTTTTGAGAGAGAGCACAGAAGGAGAGGGAGAAGCAGACTCCCAGCCCAACGTGGGGCTGGAATCCAAGACCCTGGGATCATGACCTGAGCCGAAGGCAGACGCCCAACCGACTGAGCCACCCAGACGCCCCTAAATATATGATTTTTAATACAGTGGGATTCACATCATATTATTAGTAACCTGCTTTTCCTCCATCTAATTTTTCTTTTATTCATTCTTGTCAAGTGTGGTATGTAATGAGATAATATTTCATCATATAAATATACTACTACAGTATGTTTATGCTTAGCTGCTTCCAAATGCTTTTAAATTGTTTCTTTGGGCCATTATAAAATATACAGTCACAGTCATGTTTGTAGCTCAATCTTTTCACACAGCCCCTATTCTTTCCTTAGGGTAGAGTTGGAATTGCTAAGTCAGAGTATGCTGCGTGTACGTTTTTATTGTTTTGAACACATGTTCCCAAACTATGCCACAGAATGATTACAACCCTGACTGGTCATGTGAGTGGCCATTCCAGCACTTTCTTGCCAACACTGGGCAGGCATTTTATTTTCCTGTGTCTTTTCATTTTTTAGAGCAGTTTTAGATTTACAGAAAAATTGAGATGATCACACAGAGAGCTCTCATATATCCCTCATCCAGTTTACCCTACTGTTAATATATTAGTATGATACATTTGTTATAATTAATGAGCCAATATGGTTACAGTATTATTAACTAAAGCTTATAGTTTATTAAGAATTCTTTAGTTTTTTGCAGTAAAAATGTATTTCTTATTGTGGGTTGTGTTGTACATTGGTAAAATTTGGGGGTAGTGCAACATGATAGTAACACAGGAAAAGTCACAAAAGTACCAGACTCAAGGATTTTTCCCAATAAACTTATTTAATAATGATTTTTAAATTTCCAAATGCATGTAAGATATTCTCAACTGTGTTATAATAGAACAAAGTAGAAGTAGCTGAAATATCCAACATTAGAACAACATAAAAATGTGTGGTACATCAACAGGTTGGAATACTTTGAATTCATGACAATAGCTTAAGTCCAGAGACAGGTAGAAAGAGAAAATATTCATGATAAAATGAACAATAGAATACAAAATAGCAAGCATACCATGTTTATGACTTTAAATAATTTGTGTGCCTATGCAATTGCCGTACTAGAGTGGTGGATTATGGAGGATTTTTAAGTTTTAAAAATGAATTTGTGGGGTGCCTGGGTGGCTCAGTGGGTTGGGCCTCTGCCTTCGGCTCAGGTCATGATCTCAGGGTCCTGGGATCGAGCCCCACATCGGGCTCTCTGCTCAGCGAGGAGCCTGCTTCCCCTTCTCTCTCTGCCTGTCTCTCTGCCTACTTGCGATCTCTCTTTCTGTCATATAAACAAAAATGAAATCTTAAAAAAATTTTTTTTAAAAATGAATTTGCTGTTACATATTCCTTTTTTTCTTTTCTACAGCAGTTATGTTTCCCAACTTGATTTTAAAATGTTTTCTTTTTATCTCTTAAAATAGATGTCACAATAAATATGTATACATTTATGAAATCAATTAATTTATCTTAGTCTTTTTGGAAGTTGAGAAATAATCAACAGACAGCATTTGGAGGTCCACGGTGTACAATGTGTTGTTTTGATACATTTGTATATTGCAGTATGACCATTAGGATTTCTTTAGTTTTTACCTAATGTCCTTTCTCTGTTTCAGGATCCCATCTGAGATGCCACATTACATATAGTTGTCATGTCTCTTTAGGCGCTTCTTGGTTGTGACGTATTCCCAGACTTTCCTTGTTTTTGAAGACCTTGACCGTTCTTGAGGAGAACTGGTAAAGAATTTTGGAGGCTACCTCTCTACTGGGATATTTCTGATGTTTTTCTTATGATTAGGTTGGGGTTATGGATTTTGAGAAGGTAAAGTGCCATTTTCATCACATCATATTACCGTGTCAGAATTTGAGACAGACACAGGAAACTATCATGAAGATGGTTAAGGGTACATACTGTCATCAGAATTCATGGCTTTTGACAGTGACCTTAATCAGTGAGGTAGTGTCTGTCAGGTTTCTTCACTGGTTATTCTTCCCCCACTCTTTATCCACAGTGTACTTTTGGAAGAATGTCGCTATGACTAACCCACATTTGACTTCAGTTATTTACATAAATTATTTGAAATTCTTCTGCACAGGACATTTTCTCTTCTCTCCCATTTATTAATTTACTGAGTCATTTATTCATAGCAGTGTAGACTCATAGATATTTATTTTACACCCTGGGTTATAATCCAATATTAGTTTATTTTGTTGCTCAAATTTTTCCAGCTTTATATTTTGGGAGCTCTTTCAGTTGGCTCCTGTGCCCCTTTGACATATCCCCATAAATATGGGGTTTGTTTTTTGGAGGGTCATACATCTATCTTCATTTTTTAATGTCTATTTAATTTGCCTGAAAAGGATTATCATATTTTAATTTCTATTTCTTTAACTAATCGTGGACCTGAGTTTTCTTAAGTTTATTGGTCTTTTCTATTCTTTCGTGATTTGCCTATTTGCCCATTTTTTATTGATATTTTTTGCATATACTTTTCACCAGTTTATTTTGTCTGCTTTCACACATCAATAAAATTTTGAGCTTTAAAACTTTTGTGAAGTTCAGTATTTTACAAAATGTTTTACTCAGAGCTTACCTCTGTGACATTCTTCCCATCCCCCTCCAAACCAATTTTTTGTCAAACGTGTTTAGAAAATGCTTTATACTTTAAAAATTTTCTTAATCTTTCTTAGACAGTCATGGCATACATGAACATTTTAAAGATGCTGAGAGCACTTGTAATAAAGAATCACATTTTTAATTTTGTTTTAGGTTTCCCTGCAAAGATTTGACAATAGTAAGTGTTTCAATGAAACCTCTACTAAGGGCTCTTAGAACTAGGGCTCCCTAGGACATACATGGGTAATTGAGGTGCCATGGACACTTCCGCTCTTCTCTTAAGGGCTCCGACTTCAGTATGATGTGTAGACAGATCTTTCCAGCCCAAAGATTACACAGAATTTCTTTACCTATTCCCCTAGTTCTTATCTTTTCTTTTTCATTTATCTCTTTAATTTACTAGGAATTCATATTGTGTATTTACCTTTTCCAAGTTAGTAACGACCATCCCAGCTTCATTATTGGACTGTCTTCTTTTCCCTGATGATTTGACAAGTTACCATGATCATGTATATATTAGATCTCACTGATACTGGGTCTGTGACTGTTCTGGACTTTAGAAATATTTATTTCTTTGATCTGTCTTTTCTTATACTACACTTTTCTTATACTCCACGGTTATCGTAGCTTTTCAACATATTTATATTAAAACTTGAAATTAAAGAATCACTGACACCTTTGTAGTATTAAATTTTCTAACCCAGATATTCTGTACTTACTATGGTCTCTGGAATAATCCATAAGACCTTACACACCTGGTAGACTACAACTGCACCTGTTCCTTGTCCTCATCTCTTTCCACCCTCCCCTCCAATGTCCTGCCTGTTCCTGCCTCTGGAATTTGTTGCTTGCTATTACCTCTACCTGAGGCTCTCTCCCACTGCTCATGTACATGGCTCATGCCTCATCTTTGTCAGAGTCTGTTTTCAAGTGTTCCCTTCTCATACTACTATTTAAAATAATCATCTCCCACCTCACTCTGGGACCCCTAACCCTTCACTGTTTTATTTTTTTCCAAAGCACTTTTCACTCTTTGACAGACTCAGTCTTTCGTTAATTTGTTTATTGCCTATCTTACCCTGACCAGTATGTACCCTCCATAAGAGTATTTGGTCTCCTTTGTTCTCCAATGACCATTTGTTGGCTGAAACAGTGCCTGGCACATAGTAGGTGCTTAATAAATGTAGAATGAATGAATGCCTATCTGGCTCTTTCTCAGGTCTAATGTCCCTTACTAAATCTTTGCCCATTTTTGGAGACTAAAGATTTTTTTGTTGATATATTTTTTTAAGATTTTATTTATTTGTTTGACAGAGAGAGATCACAAGCAGGCAGAGAGGCAGGCAGAGAGAAAGGGGGAAGCAGGCTCCCTGCCGAGCAGAGAGCCCGATGCGAGGCTCGATCCCAGGACCCTGAGACCATGACCTGAGCTGAAGGCAGAGGCTTAACCCACTGAGCCACCCAGGCTCCCCTTTTGTTGATATTTTAAGAGTCACTTCCCTTCCTATATCTTCTATTAAATGGTTATTGCTAATAAATAAGATGGCTTTTGATAAGTGTATTTTGATTTGGTAACTGATCACCTTACTGTTCTTGCTTACTGCTTCTACTGGTTTCTTGGGTGATTCCCTTGGGTTTTTTAGGTAGACAGTTCTGTATTCTACAAAAATTATATTCAGTCTTCTTTTTTCTGCCATTGCATTGGATAGAATACTTATGATAATCTTTAACAGTAAAGGATAATGAGCAGTCTCACCCTCTCTCTAACTTAATGGGGATGTCTCTAGTATTTAACAAAAAAGGTATGTGATCGATGATTTGAAATATTCTATATCAAAATGAGGAATTATCATTTTATTCCTATTTTGCTCAGAGTTTTAAAAACTAGTAACTGGGGACACCTGGGTGGCTCAGTGAGTTAAAGCCTCTGCCTTCCGCTCAGGTCATGATCTCAGGGTCCTGGGATTGAGCCCCGCGTCGGGCTCTCTGCTCGGCGGGGAGCCTGCTTCCTCCTCTCTCTCTGCCTGCCTCTCTGCCTACTTGTGATCTCTCTCTGTCGGATAAATAAATAAAATCTTTTAAAAAAACAAATAAACTAGTAACTGATGTTGAATTTATTTGACATCTATCGCTAAGATATTTTAAAACTTATTTTTAAGTGATAAATGTAATGCTTTTGTGGTAAGGAATAAAGGGAAAAATCTGAGTAATCTCTTTCTCCACCACAGTTTCAACCACTAGAAGTAACTACATTTCACAATCTCTTGTGCATTTTTCCAGACTCCTCTAAGTGCAGATAAATTTATACATGCATAGTACATCAGAGTGTTTTTTTTTTCTAATTGAGAGTATAGGGTATATATTATTCTGTAACTTGCTTTTGTCTTTTAGAATATTGGACACTTTTCATAGTAGTACATGTACCTCTTACTTTAGACGGCTGCACACTATCTCACTGCTTGGTGATTATTTAGCCTGTCCTCCATGAATGAGGTGACCAGGTTTTACTTTTTCTATGATAAATCTTGCTGCAGTGAATATACTTGCACCTATATCTCTATCACTTAAACAAGTATTTCTATTTTTTTCAGATTTTATTTATTTGTTTGAGAGAGAGGGAGAGAGGGAGAGCACCAGGGAGAGTGAGAGGGAGAAGCAGACTGCCCGCTGAGCAGATGGCCCAATTCAGGGCTCCATCCCAGGACCCTGAGATCACGACCTGAGCCAAAGGCAGATGCTTCACTGACTGAGCCACCCAGGTGCCCCTAAACAAGTATTTCTAATGTATTTTTTATCCTATTACTCAGGCGAGTCTCTTGAAAGAAATATTTTATATTCTTAATTTCTAAGATAATCTATGGAATTCAATTAAACAATATATTTTAAATATTTCCCTAAAATCCTGTTTCAGCATGTAAAAATAATAACCTGATTACTAGAATGAATAATAGTCTTGCACTATTTATATTACATTTTTAAGATGAATGTTTAAATATTATCGAGTCATTATTTTTCTCCACTGGAGTAACATAAATTAAAAAAAAAAAATCAGACCTCTGACTTACCCACCTTGACTAAAAAAAGCAATGAAGTTCATGAATCTTTCACGTATATTTAACAAACTTTGCTGACCAAAATGGGCCTGAGCCTTCTGGATTAGCATCATTTTTATTCTGCAGCCATTTTGTGTATTTTGCAAGTGTACAAACCCCAGAACTAATCCTTTTCTGCATATATCATACTTCGTAGACACCAACTTCAGTTTCCTCTAGGAAGGTAAAGCAAGAAGGAAGGGGCAAATGCAGGGCTGCCGTTGCAAACCTCTGTCATGGTGCCTTACGGAGAGTTAAGAAAACCCTTGAGAGACTGCCCTTGGGAAGAGCAGTGCTTGTTCCTTGGGTCCATAATAGAAAGACTCTCCTTCGAATCGAGTAAAAGAGAGGAGAAGCTGATAAACATCTCAGGGGGCTGATTTTAATGAGAGAAGTTCATTTTTCTTACAAGTCTCCTTAAGTCATCATGTCTCTCCCTGTTCACTATGGTATCTTACATGGGTCCCGAACTTCCGCCCTGTGTCCCCCAGCTCTATAATTTCCAATGAGAGGGGCGGGAGCTCATCTGCAGAGTCTATCCCAGCATGAGTCACTCACCTGCTAATCCCCTTGTAAACTGTAGCGTAAGAACCTTCACCCAGCTTCTCCAAGTTCAGGTAAGATGATGCTACCCCAAAAGGGAGGCTCTTCCTCTGCTTGGACGGATTGGGGAGGGGTGAGAGGTGGGAGAGAAAGAAAGAGCACTTTTTTTTTTAAGGTTCACTTCCCCCCCGCCCCCCCCAGAGAAATTAGACAGCACTGCCAGAGTATACTTGGAAAGACCCTCTCCGTAAGTGCCCGGGGAGGGGGGTCGACCTCCCTAGACAAACACATATTAATTCTTCATCTGCATCAGCTGTTGACTCACCCACTGAAAACCCTGCCTCAGATCCTCTTCCTGAAAAGAATCACTGTTACTCCGTGGCCTTTTACTCTTGAACTTCCGGGCACGGACAGCCCGAAGTCCCCTGGGGTGAAATGAAGTCATGGAACATGATGCTTCTTTTAGGTCTGTCAGCTGGAGAAAAAGGAAAGTACAGGAATAAAATGTATGCAGTCAAGACTCAGTGGCTGACAAAACCTATTTTTTCTTCATTTGTCTGATTGTCACTCTTCAGATGTTTTCTAAGCCTCCTACACCGCCCCCCCCCCCAAAAGCAAGTCTTTTCCTGAAAGCCAGATCCTTAAAAAAGACCATGATGATATCAAGTGCAGAAACTCTACATTCTTTCTTCACTTAAAAATATGTCTTCAACACTTCGGTTAACCTAAATCTCTCTGATGGACCGTTTCCAATTTTTCTCTGTTTAACTCAGCCTTTTTTCCCCCCACCATGTCCTCTTAATTTATCTTTTTTGGGAGGGACGATTTCTCTCGTGTGTCATTGCTAATAACCATAAGTTAATCATCAAGATTTTGAATCCCTAGCCTACCAATACTGCAGCTTGCTTTCTGAGGCTCAGCGCTGTAATTTAATACTTGAGAGATTACAAGAGAATAACTACTTTCTCGACTTCAGCCCGAAGCACACGATTGTTTTTCCCTGTTGGTTTACAAGAACATCCACAAATTTGATAACAATGACCATAAATTCTCTATGGCTTTAATAGGATTTTCCTTTTATTGGTTTAGACCCACCGCAGAAAAATCCGACCCTGCTTCAGCAAGGGAGTCTCTGAACTCCTCCATTTATCAACAGAGGAAGATGCTGCTGGGAGACAGATACCTCGGTCGCAGCCTCCGCGGGCTCGGGCACAGGCGCTGTCCTCTGGCAGCTGTGCACATCGCCTCCCTCCCAACAGCGATGGCAGCTACCTCCAGGCTGGAGAGTCTTTGTACACAGCTCTTGACCCATAATCTTCCAGGTTCAAGGAGAAAACCTGCACTTGAACCTCTCCCCTCTGCCTCTCCCGTCCTCCTTCACTCCCTTTTTGCTGGAGGTCAGCAAGGCTGGAGCTTTCATATGACTCACATGAGGGCTCTGAGTGGAGGAGCCTCATGACTTCAGCAGTTTTTCCCCATCAGGGCAAGAAGCTACATCCGAAAGGTGGCTGCCTGCATTCTTCTGTGCGCAACTGGAAACAGGACAGCTGACATCGGCTGCAATCAATTTTGGCACCAAGTCCTTCTTCCAGGCGCAAGTTAGGGCTGTTACCCGTACACAGCTTTGATGAATTTACGTTGCTTAGCCATGTAAATGATCATGATATTTATTAGGCTTCCTGGGAGCTAAAGTGAAGAGTGTTTTCTCCCTGCCTTTCAACTGAAAGCATTTTACTTCCCAGACTAAAATAAATTTGCAGCCTAGCCAACTTTAAGTAGTCAAAGAAACCACAGAATCACAGAATAGGAAGATATCTTCTTCTCTTTGCTTCCAGCAATAGTGTACAATATCTAAGAGTCCCACAGGGGTAGTCATTCATTCATTGATTCGAAAATGATCTGGTGAGCACCTGTGCTGTTTTTACTATACAGACAATGGTGTTACCCAGTGGTGGGGAGAGGGGAGTTTGCATGAAATATCTTCTTCTCTCCCTCTCTTCTTCCTACTCCCCTGGCCCTTCCTGCCACATAAATGTAATTAATGGTTACCGAATTAATAGCATGACATGTCAAGGAACTAGCTTGATTTACTTTGTAGTCTTTGAGCAGAAATTTTTTTTCCTCTTACACTTCTAATATTATCGTCACTATAATATACTAACCAGAGTGAGACAGAATGTAGAATATACACACACACATAATCAGGATCATTGAGGGAAAAAGTTTAATCATGTCTAGTACTACAACAATATTTATGTATGTTTGATATCTGAACCTCAATAGTTTAAAAAAAAACCCTTTCAGAGAATTTAATGATGAGTATGATTGAAGATTTATTTCAAAATTGCCACAAGAGAAGAGACGGTAAAACAAGCCAACTTAAAGATTCACTTAAATTATAGATTTTTCTTTTTAAGATTTTATTTACTTATTTGACAGAGAGAGCACAAACAGGGGGAGCGGCAGAGGGAGAGGGAGAAGCAAGACTCCCCACTGAGCAGGGCACCTGATATAGGGGCTCGATCCCACAACCCTGAGATCATGACCTGAGCCAAAGGCAGACGCTTAACTGACTGAGCCACCCAGGCGCCCCAAATTAGAGACATTTAATTTTTTTTAAGATTTTATTTATTTATTTGAGAGAGAATGAGTGAGAGAGAGCATGAGAGAGGAGAAGGTCAGAGGGAGAAGCAGACTCCGAAAGGAGCTGGGAGCCCGATGCGGGACTCAATCGTGGAAGTCCGGGATCATGACCTGAGCCCAAGGCAGTCGCTTAACCAACTGAGCCACCCAGGCGCCCAGAGACATTTAATTTTTTAAAAAAGTGATGAGTTAAACTATACAAAAAGAAACTATTTATTTAAAGGCTCTTAAATCTTTGACCAACAATTGACAGAGAGTGAAATAAGTTAATTTCCCAGAATACTTAATTCCATTAGAATTATCATAATTTGATTATAATACATTTTATGAGAAATGCCGATTTTTGCTTAAAAGGAGGTTGTGAATTTTATCATACCCAGGCCAAGTTTGAGACAGTTTTTCTTTATTACTCTCTAATTATCATAAGGTTTCAGATTTTTTAAATGGCAAGCATTTTTATTTGCTAGAAGGTTATTCACCTAAGACTCAAATTGCTTAAAGAGAAGAGTCTAATGCTTAAGGCTTAAAATATTATGTTTAGGCTTAAAATGCTATGTTCAGATACTAGATGGGCTACTCAAGGAAGTTGTGAAATACACTACAGAATTTTCTTTTCTTTTCTTTTTTGAAGATTTTTTAAAAAATTTTGTTTTATTTCTTTGAGAGAGAGAGAGAGAGAGAGCACAATCTGGGGGAGAGGCAGAAGGAGAGGGAGAAGCAGACTCTGCACCAAGCAGGGAGCCCGATGAGGGGCTCGATCCCAGGACACTGGGATCCTCACCTGAGCCGAAGGCAGATGCTTAATGGACTGAGCCACCCAGGTGTCCCCGCTTCAGAATTTTCAAAAATAAGATAATTTATGGTCTTGTTTAAAGTCAAGGAAAAATATTAGATGCCTTCTTAAGATGTTTTCTAGTTCTCTGCCCAAAACAAATTTTGTTATCAAATATTTCTGAGTAAGGACAGAAGATTTAGATGATTTCATATTTTTCCTCCAAATTTTTATTTACATTCCAGTGAGTTAACATGTAGTGTAATATTGGCTTCTGATGTAGAATTTAGTGATCCATCACTTACAACATGCAGAGCTCTTCACAAGTGGGTTTCATTTTGAATTGTGAATCAGGCCCAGTTTCTGCATCCCTCTGGGTTGGGGTGACCTATCTCAGCAGCCAGGTCAGCTTCACGGCTGGAGAAGCCCACTACACTGTTGTCTTTCTTTTTCTTTTTTTTTTTAAGAGAGAGAGAAAGAGCACAAGCAGGAGGAGCAGGCAGAGAGAGAGGGAGAGGCACATGGGTCTGGATCTCAGAACTCTGGGATCATGACCTGAGCTGAAGGCAGATGCTTAACCGGCTGAGCTACACAGGCATCCCATTCGCTCTCTTGAAGTGTGCCCACTGTTACTGCTACCTCCCGCATCACCAAAGAGCCCTCACTCACAGAGTGACTGACAAGGAGAGACCTTCATGCCTAGCCACCTGCCTGCCAGGGCCAGGTAATGCAATTAAGAAAGGAGGAAGTCCCATGGAGTGCCTTCCGCCATTATGATGCCAACAATGACTATTGGGAGGTGAGACCAGATGAAACAGCTCCATGCACTTGCATCTCCCTTCTTCACTGCTTTGCTACCCTTGCTCCTCGCTTCTAATTCCCTGGGATTGCACATGACTCCCCACCCTCAAAATTATTCAGTGTTAGCATGTAAGCTTTTGCTTCAGGCTCTATTTCCGGGGAATCTGTGTTAAGGCAAATCGTAGCCATTTTTTAACCGGCAGTAAAATTATAGGCTGTAGACAATTTCAGACTCGATTCTTCTGCCCTACATTTTTGGAGTCCTTTTTGCTTTCTCACTGGCTGGGAATTCGAAGTACTATATTTAGTTGAGAATTTACCCTTTTCCCAATATTTGCATTCTGTCTAAATTTAGCCAGATTATTAGGAATTATGGTTTAATTATAACTGTTCTAGAATATGTAGATTATCACAAGCATTCAACAAACAATAACATGACGAATAATGTGATGTTTGTCAGAAACATTAAAAATAAACATCTACACAATGGAGTAATATGCAGCTATAAAAAAGAGAGAGCTCTACATAATGACAGGCAGTGATCATCAAATATATTGTGAAGTGGAGAAAGCAAAGTGCTTTTGTGTGTTTTTGAGACAAAGAAATGAGGAGAAATAAATTGTAGTCAGTAATTTTATTAATATTACTGCTATTACTTTGAAACTGTTATTGGTGTATTTTAGGATTAAACAAATAAATAATTATGATAATGTCATCAGAGCTAAATTTTCAGCATAAGGAAAAAATAGGCATAAGTATCATATTAAACAAATCAGGTAGAAGTCATGTGATTTTTTTCTTTTTAAGTAATCTCTATCCAATGTGGAGCTTGAACTCACAACCTCAAGATTCAGAGTCACATGCTACACTGACCAAGCTAGGCAGGCAGCCCAAAATCAAATTCAATTTGATTTGGAAATACCGATACAGACTTCTGATTTTTTCCTAAAAAAGAGCTCTGTCAGCCAAAAGACCTAGAAACAACGATGGCCCAACAGTAATGAGTAATGATCATTTTTGTGATCCCTAAATACCAGTTTCCATTAAAAAGAACCAAGCATCCATGGAGAAATGGTGGCTAGATATCTAGAACATGAAATCTAAGAAGTTTTCAAGAAAGATGTTCTCAAACTGATGGTCACCAAAAGAAAGGTGGGCAGAGGGTTGGGTTAAATGCATGATGGGGATTAAGGAGTGCGCTTGTGACGAGCCCTGAGTGACGTATGGAAGTGTTGAATCATTGTATTGTACACCTGAAACTAATATCACGCTGTATGTTAACTAACTGGAACTTAAATAAAAACTTAAAAAAAGAGAGAGAAAGCTGTCCCAGGCTCATCTAATGCCAAAGGGGTTCATGTCAAAAGGATATAGGAGCCAACTTGAAGGGACTCCCATTTGGTTTAAGATGGAACAATGTGAGTATCAAAAAGAATAATAACTTCAAGGGATTGAAACATGTGAACTACATAAAATCCATGAATTTATCTAAACAAAGTTGCCACTTGGAGGTTTCTTAGTGTACCAGTTCATGACTCTGAATATTGATGAATAAAGGGGAAAAATCAAGTATATTTTGTCTTTTATATACATATTGTTTTTCCAGGGTTATCAGATAATTAGTGAGGGGGAAATTCTTTCTTATAGAAGAATTCCAGCTAATAAATAAAGAAGAAATGATAAAAGTAGGAAGTTCAGTCTTATTCAATCGTAGAGCTAAGCAGCAATCATCAATGGAGGCTAAGATCATTAGGTGAAAGACTGATAAGGAACTTTGTAATGAAAGGTCAGGTTGACACCATCCGAGGTCGATGGCCAGTCTTAGTTTTACTAAACTTGGGGTACCCAGACATTAGTACCAGGAAGCATACAGCATCATCTGTGATGTGTTTTTGGCTAAAGAAAAAAATTTAACCTGAATCTCATCAAGTGTCTAAGATCTAAAACCAAATTATAAGAAGTACAGGGGACGGGCGCCTGGGTGGCTCAGTGGGTTAAAGCCTCTGCCTTCAGCTCAGGTCATGGTTCCAGGGTCCTGGGATCGAGGCCCACATCGGGCTCTCTGCTCAGCAGGGAGCCTGCTTCCTCCTCTCTCT